ACCTGCGGTTGATCCATATGGTGGAAAGTAACAAGAAAGATCATATTTTATAAAAGCAATTTCCAGGGCTCACTTGAAGAATCAAAGTCTGTAATTCAACATATAATACAGATAATACATTTAGCTCCAGAAACATAACTATGTGAATAAACAAATACATTCTTCTAGTGTGAAAATGTATCAGGAACTGAAAACAGAAACAACCTGTGTTGCCATCTTGATGACTAACCCATCCAGGAAGCCTGGCCAGAGAGCTTGGTAAACCAGAGAGCCCATCCCACAGCTCCACTGAGGCAAGGAGGCAAGCTAGTAGCCCTGCTCTGCTGTTACGTATAGCCTCTGCTCCACATAACCGAGGAGCTTGAATGGTGACCTCGTGCAGTCTTAGAGCCTAGCCTACCATACTGCCAAACTGTGGAGCCAAACCTATAGCACTGCCCAGCAGCAGAGCCCAGCCTATCGCCCTAAAATCGCTAAACACAGCCTGCAGGCTCACTCAGTCACCTAGCCAGGGACTCTGCCCAATCATGGAGCATAGCTTGCAGCCTCACTCAAAGAAAGAATGTGGACAATTACCCTGTTGGACCAGGGAGCACAGTCTCTAGCACCACCCAATGTTTATATAAACCCAGAGAACCCTCCAAGGACAAATCTAAAACTCTTCAATAATACAGACATAACTATACAAATAAAATATATGAGTTTGTATATGAATTAATGTATCATATATTATGATTCAGTTATGCTAAATTTAAGCCCATTATGGAAACATAGAAAGTCAAATGAGACTGTGTAGTCATCCCTTAATTTTACCCATTTATGGGAGTATAAAAGATATGGATAACATATTCTAATACAACCTAAAACTATAGGTTGTTTTCTTTGGATATCCACTTTAATATCTACTAGGGTATCACAAAGGCAAACACACACACACACACACACACACACACACACACAATCATAAACTCCCTAACTTTGTAATATGGTCCCAAATGCTTTAATAAAACTAAAGCCTGAATGGATTGGGTTATAATTGACAAATAGAGGCAAGATGAAAGACCGTGGGTTAACTCCAACTAGCAAATGATCCAGTCATGGATTACCAGTGGAGAAAATATGTTATTATCTGTTCAAAGTTTATAACATTCATTAGGAAACAAAAACATACCCTTCATAAGAGGTGGTTATGCCTGCAACTGAAGAATTATCACACATCATGAAAAAACTCCACAAATAGAGAAGAAAATCAATTAGAGATAAACAAAATCCTATGTAGGCAGCTTGTTTGACAGTAATCTTGAACTTCTTCATAATTAAACCACCAACTATATATCCAATGCATATTGGAGGTAAGTTATAAATACCTATAAATGCAAGAAAAATGTTATTAATAATGTAACTTAGCAAAGGAACAAATATGGTATCACTTTTATCTAACATGTCCTACACACGAAACCATTTAGGTCCAATTCACAGTGAAGAAGGGTGATTGAATTTTATCCCTACGTAGTTACATATTACTTACAGAGAGTTTTTTTTAAGGGCTTCTCAATGTCAAAGTATTTTTTGAAGACTGTTATTAATATTCATTTAATTAATTGCAGTAGGTTGTAAATTTCTTATACGCAAGTACATGGTCTATATATTTTCTTAGGATTTAGGTAGGAGTGACAAGTCCGAGTTCACCAGTGATTTATTGCTTTCCATTCCTTGGGGTGATTATATATATATATATATATATATATATATATATATATATATATATATATATAAAATGCATTATATGATTTTGCTGTTCTTTATTCCAACTCTGGTTGTTAAAAGTTCGACTCAGTTCAAGGTACTTTAGGGGTTCACTGCTGCGTCTGTGATTGTCAAGTGTATTTACATTTCACACCTTGCTGCCTTCTGTGCTAGTGATCAGCATTCTCCCTAACCTACTCCTCCCTCCACAAAAGGGGAAAAAAGAAGAAAGAGGAAGACACAGCCCTACGTTGCATTCTTACACATCAGGGTCTGTTTAAATCACATCTTTGGGAGAGCTTGTAATAGATAAGTATGATATCGGGGATCAGAGAGCAGTAGATGGCGGAGGGGGGTTGTTTCTGTGTGAAGGGTAAAAAGGATAACTATTGCATTGTTCTGTACACCTGAAACTAACCTAATTAATTAATTAATTAATTTTTAAAAATCCATTCCAAAGTCCCACACCAGAGAGTCTGATTTAGTGTGTCTGAGGTGGGCACCAGGTATCTCAACTTTTAACAAACCCTTGAGGTGATGTGGATACATGTAGTATAGGAAATTCACTTTCAAAACTGTTAAAAGATCCCCAGAGAAACCCAAGGTGAGGGTTAGTGTAGTCACAAGAAAATTAGAACTTATGGGCTGCAGAGACACCTCAAACCACCGGGGGAACCAGGTAACTAAATTAGGAGGAACATGAATTCATGACTGGGAACCAAGAGTAAAATCTGAGAGTAAAATGTTGAGTCCTAATTAATTAACTCTATCTTCTTTTTCTTATTAATGGATTGCCTATCTAATTTGCACATTCACCAAGATTTCCACAAATATTTTGAATTTGTGGAATTCTGACTGGAGAGAGAGAGAGAGGATTTACTGGCTTTCTTCTCTGCCTACTCTTTTTAATTTCAATTGAGAATGGAAGGGGGAAATGTACCGGAGACAGAAATATGTTAACAGATTTCAATTTAGGAGTTTCCTAGACCTGTCATCACACTGTTTACCAATTTATGGAGGGAAAATGTGGACTAGTAATTCAGAGAAGAACAAACATACCAATTAGAAAGACTGCTTCTGACGTTGATTTTCCATATTGCTGTTCCAGATATTTAGGCATGTAGAATAACATACTAACAAATGCATTAAATTGTATCACACTTACTAGTATGAAAAGTGTGTAAATTGGGTTGCAAAAAAGACTCTTCATGAATGGTAAAAAATCTGAAATGAAAGAATAACAGCAGTGTCAAACTCAACTTCACATTTTATGATTGACTTTTTCTGAAACAACTTCCCCTGCATGTTATGTATGTCTGTTTTATAAAGCCCATATTGTTCATTCTTTCTACCCCTTGAAAGCTAAAGTTATATCATCATTTTGGTAACTTCCACAAGTCGGTTACACCGCTGACTGGCAAAGGATCAGGACACAATAGTTTTGCCTTCACTAAGTTGCTATTGTGTCTTAAGGAAAAACTATAATGTAAACAAAATATTGTCTGTGTTCACATCATTGCCTTTTATCCTTCTCTTTTGACTTCTGTTAATATCCTCTCTTTTTTAGAGCTCATCTAGAATGAAAGATGCTTGCCCTGTTATCTATGGAAAGAAATCAACTTGGTAAGGGACTTCACACTCAAATATTAATGTCATCACTCCTGAACATCTAAAATAAAGGTATACATGGGAATTCATGGGATATAAATTTTCTCAAGTACCAGGTATTTTTCTGCTTCTTCAGAACAACAGGTGGTTCACAACAAAATGTGCTTTAAAACACCTAGGCATCTTTTAAAATACCAACTTCCAGGTCCCACTCCCTGAGATACTGATTCATTAGGTACACACTAAGGACCATGTAAATGATTTTAGCAAAACTTTTCCCTATTGTGTGTGGACTGACAAAACTCAGAGCCCAATTTGTGGCCCATCTCTAACAAATGTTCTGGGTCACACTGCTGCAATTTTGGGTCAAAGTCTCACAGTTTCTTCACTTTTCCTGTCTTCATGTTCTCTGTCTTGATTTCCTTACCTTTTTTGTGTATTATCCTGGTTTGTTTAATAAACTGCCTAAAATGCATTCTGAAACAAAGTATCAATAAAAAAGCAAATTGGAAGAGGAAGAAGCACAGCTTAATGCAAAGAAGTTGATGGTAGAATGCATCTAGTGGTAGATGTCATTTATAAATGAAGTACATGGCAGGGGTGAGAGTGGTGTTCAGAGCTGTTTGGAACTTCTGAAATCACCCATTTTGTTGAAATCCCTTTCCTAATAGGTGAGTCTTAGCAGTTCAAATTCTTTTCTATATATCTTATACTAAGCTAAGCTCTTTCCTGGTTTTGAAATTTGATCTTGGAGACCACAAACAATATTCTATGTTAAAATTCTCTACCAGTCCATATCATTCCTTTGAGAGAGTTGTTGATATAATCATGATGACTGAAGGTTTTCAAAATTTTAAATTGGCTCCTGATGATATGAGAAGTATTAAATTATGTTCAATTGTGGTTTAAGTGAATTTATAATTGTTAATTAAAATTCTGTGCAAATTGTTATAATTTATGGGTGATGCTAGAAGTAGCAACATCAACAATAGTAATACTAGTACTAGTATCAGTAATAATAGTAATAATGTGTGCCTGAATTCATTTTACCCTCACACAAGAACTTCATAATTTTAACTGCTATAATCTCCATTTTACAGGTGAGAAAACTGAGCCCTTCCCCAACTTCTAAATGAACACATTTTAAGAATTCCAAGACCCAGGTCATACTAATTAAATACTCATACTAATTAAATCTGACCTCTTGAGAATACTACAGAATTTCTAGGCATCAGTAATTTTTAAAATTTCCCAGGTGATTCCAATATGTGGCCAATTTTAAGAATCAGCATTCTTGAATACGAAGTATTTAGACTATCTTAGCTTAGTTTCCCACAGAAATACTTTCTATAAATTATAGTTGGAGCTTTTATTGACAATCTATACTAAACAAAAAAGTTCTGTTACATGAAATATGCTCCTGCATTTGCTGAAAAACAACTATGTGGTTCCTATATTATATATTATATAAAACCATTTGACTTTTTTTTCCTTTTTTACAATGTGTTACTTGGGGAAGATTTTCTTTTTAAGAACTATTATTCTTCCCTCTATCAAATATAGAGAATTATATGATCTATCATGTTTCCTTTTCTGCCTTAACTTCCAGGAAGCTTACTGCTAGGCTAACATTTTTTTTTTAATTTTTATTCAGAACTATACACTTATTTGGATCAGCACATATTTTTCCTCCTTTTGGTCTTAGTTTGAATTTCTTTTTTTTAAATTAGACCTTGAAGGCAAAAGGGACCAAATAAATTAATAAATAAATAATTTATTGAATACCCAAACTAACATAAAATTTTATGTAAATACTGATCTGAAATAATTCAGCTTCCAAATTATATTGTTTATTTCCAAGTTGTAGCACAGAAAGACTCAGACTAGTTACACATTACTGACTGCTGACTGTTAAGGACAAATTGTCTGAATGCAGCCTAGCATGTTATAGTGATAGACAACACACATCTCTGTAAAATAAGCCAATTATATGGTATTTAAATTTTTCATATTTGCCTTTAATGATTCCATCATTTTTCTTCTTGACCTCTTCTCTTTGTTTCTCTTCTTTGTCATTTTTAATGACATCAGCATTGTCCTTTAGTTCTTCCGTTGCAAGTGTTTTGGGCAAGAAGAAAAAAGGTATGGCAGTGAGCACATTCACTGCTGCACAGATCAAAAGGCCAAGCCACCATGCCCCAACCCAACGAGTATCAGTGGGAGTTATGGTCAGATCAGCTGAAATAAATAAATAAATAAATAAATAAATACACATTTTGAATTAGCTTCAGCCTTTATTTCCAATATGAACTACAGAAAAAAATTTAAGCTCCTATTCTTAAGTTCTCTCCAAGCATAGAGTTTGTATACAATTCAGACATTCATAAATCTTGTCTGACAGTGTATAGAGTTATATTTTCTAGCAATAAATTAGCTTGGCTACCTGTCCTATCATGTAAAGAATTTATAAACAGGTACTTTTAAAATAACTACAAGGTCTATTTATGCACCAATGATTGCTTGATTAAAAGAAATTCAAACCTCTGAGCTTAAATCTTTTGAAAACAAGAAATATGGTCTTGGTGCAGTAGAAAGAGCACTGAATTTTGAGTCAGAAGATCAGCATTTTCTCTTGCTCTCCTGCTCACTGGTTTGAGACATTTAAAAAATTATTTAAACTCTTCCACTTTAGTTTGCACTCCTGGAAAGTATAGTTTATCTGTTTGTAGGTCAAGTAAAGCAGCAATAAACTGTAGTAGCCTACCTAAAGCTGCTTTGTGTGCCCTAGCCACTATACAACTAGATTTTAATGACTTACCTGTGTTTACAGATCCAGTGTCAACATAAATATTTGCACAGAATGACGATAATAAAAGTCCAAACAAAGGGCCAATGATAGCTCCTGTTTCTATAAACCCTAAAAATAAAGGGGAATATGAAGTTATAGTATAGTTCTATATCCACATAAAGAGTCCTAATTCCATGAAGAGTCTGAAGACTGAATTATTTTTGCCTTAGATATTCAATTTGTAAAGAAATTAAGGTTGGTATAACAAGCTTGTTTCTATAAATGTTGAAGAAAAAGCCTCATAATTTAAAGCCACTTTCTCTAAGCCTCAAAATTCTCTTTTGCTTCATCACAGGTAAAGATTTGCTGGAGCAGCATAGGCTAGGATCATGCTATTTACAAAGCCACAATATGCAGCAAGATTCTTTTGAGGCTTTCATAGCCACATTTTTAGAAGAATTCTAAATCAATACCATGTTGATACCATAATAAATTTCTTGTGGCATATTCCTCAGAAAAGCTCCACTCGCATATCTCCAGCTTGAAACTTCCTCTGGCTATTCCTTACTTTTATTGATACTTCACTTTTGTCATAATTTCCTGTCTTAACCTTCATATTCTTATTTTCCATTCCCATCAGTCCCCTGTCCTCATAACTCCTTACTCACCTAGAATATCATCATCGCTTATCTCATAACTTGTCCACAATTCAGAATCTATACTGCACCTTCACTGCTCACCGAAAATCCAGACATGAGCTTCCTTAGCTGTCTTACTCTTTACTTCAAAATATTTCTTTGCCCGTTGTCTCTGCCTACTCCAAAGTTCTACAGGCTAGTTTATACACACCTGATTTCTTGACATCAACATTTCTTCCTTCTCTCAGGACTTGCTCACAAACAAACTCCCCCATCCACTGATACCTACAGTATCTCAAATCTACCCTGCTTTCTTTCTTTTCACTACACTCTGCCTCTACTTCCTCACCAGCCATTCACACCACTCATACCCTTCCACATTCTACTCAAAATCGTCTCCGGTAGCACCAGTAATCTGTTGCCACTTTATCCAGTGTCGTTTTCTAGTCCTCATCTTTCTAACTCTCCATGTTACTTGACATTGCTGGCCAACTCCTCTGACATTCATAAAACTATATATTTATTGTTTTACTTTTTCCTCTACAACTACTCATTTTTTTATGTTTCTTCCTCTTACTCTAAGTAGAACTGTTCCCTAGTGTTTTATTCTCAGACCTCTTACTATATATGTGGCTTCCAATAACAACCTCATTTATCCCTTTTGATTTCATTTACTATCTATGTTTAGAAGACCCTCAAAACTTTATTGCTAGCTTTTCTGTTCTCTCCTAAACTCCAGAATCATATATGGAACTGATTTTTCTTGATATGTAGCTAATTGATTTGTAGTTATTTAGTTATATGCATACACATTTATTTCATTTTTCAAATTTAAATTTTTGAAAATTTAATTACACACATATTTATCAGATTTCATTGATTTATAATTATGTAGTCATTAAATACTAAACCTTATATGGATTATGTCTTATTCATCTTAATACATATAGAGATCCTCACAGTTATTTCTATATATTATATAACCTAGTATTTGTTGAATAGAGAAATATATATTATACCAAGGGTTTGTTAATTTATTGCAGGTGAACATTTGTATTCTTTCAATATAAGTATGTGAAGGGATCTGAAAGGGCTGATAAGAAAAACATCAAAAAAGATCATTGCAAAATCAGTGAGCTATCAAAAAGTGCCAAAAGTTATCTGGGGTAATGATTCCTAAATATTTTAATCTATCTTGATTAAGTGTAGTTCTGTTTCTGTCTTCTCTCACCGTCTTTGACTTTCCTGGTTTTTAAAAAATATGTATACATTAATAGCAAAATGTCCCTGTACTCAAAGTTATAATTTTATAAACAACCGATGGAATAACTAAAGAATATAAGCAAGTTATGCATAATAAATTAAAAATATTTAGGAGATTGGAAGGTAACATAAGATGGTGGATTTTAAGTTGGCTATTGTGGGAGGTGATGTTGATGAATTTTAGAAAAGAAAATTTCAAGAAATATAACCAAAAGTATAAAGAAAGGTATTTGTGAAAATTATGAAAAAGCCTGACTAATATGGAGAGATGGTGATGAAGTGAAACTGTATAGTAAACCAAACAAATAAATTGAGTACAGAGGTATGAATAAGTGGAGATATCAGATTTAGTAAATAAGGAACCAATATGTTTTATGAGCATGGTAGAGAAGACATGATTAAAACAATGTTTGAGAAAAACTACACTGTAAGAACGTTTATGAAAAATATTAGAAATAAAATGACCGATTAAGATGTTATAATAATCTACAGATGAAATAATGAATATCTGAACAAAAATAGACATAATGAAAATAGTGAGAAAACTTTTAAATATAAGGCACATTATAAAGAAAATGTTGGTAAATCTCTTAACAGATTGGATATAGAGTAGTGCCAAGGAAATGGAGGAAACAGAGAGCTCCAAGGTGCTAGATTAGTGGTATTTTCAACAGCAAAAAGAGCAGATTTAGCAAAGTGCTTAATTGGAGTTGGCATGTAATTGCTCCATTCAACAAACTTTTATTGATGAACGACTGTGCCAAGGTACTCTGCTCATCATTCTGGAAATCACTTAGAATCCAAATAAATAACTAATATCCACCCTCAAGGAGCTTACTGTCTTGAAAAGAAGTTAAGGCAGATTTTCAAACTCACCAATATATAAAGGAGAGTTTTCAGATTTGGCAAAATCTTCTATGTAGGAAATACCCAAAGGCATGATTGGAGTTTCACCAATTCCACGTATCATATTTCCTACTAGTACATACAACCACATTAATGACTTAACTTCCTTCACATACTCTGCATTAAAAGAAAAAAAGACATTGCATTTGTATTTTCATAGTAAAGTATAA